TATATATGAGTTTATAAATTATTTATTCAAAACTTATTACCGGATGATTTATTTTATGTAATTGTGCTTTTACACATATTTTTATATAATAGTTTTTATTTATTCGCTACTTATATTAATTAATGTATCGCATAATTTAATGCATTACTGAATGGTTATAATTGGGATAATTACTGCAGTAATACGGTAAAAATTTTGAGTTTACGCGTGACAAACAATTTTATTATGATTTATGGAAATTAAAATTTTCACTCAAATTTAGGAAACAACAGTGGTAAACTTATTGACCATAAAGGTGAAAAATACAAGATGATTTTTTTGTGGTGATAGGTGAGGATGCATCAGATATACATACAGCTTAAAGAAATGGATTGACTTGAATTGTAAGTTTTGAAAGTGCACTTTAAAATTTTGAAAGTTTGAATAACTTTCTATCATTAATGAACAGGAGAGAATGTTAATTCATAATGAAAATTTATCAATTATAAAAATTCCTTAAATTGTCCATAAACTTGTTTTTCCTGATTTTGAATGCGAAAGGTGTTGGAGATGAATGTGGACGATGTTATAAGGGATGTTTCGTCGACCATCACATCTCGTCAATTTCGTCAATCAAAACTATGCAATTAAGGATGAAAAATTCCTGCTACAAATTTCAAGATTCTTTCATTCTTTAAGTTTTAAGTTTTGAAATTACGATAGTTATATTTTAATGCGTTATTTAATTTCAGAAGGAAATTCGATACAGTTGCTAAAAGGGAAAAAATATATATATGCGTGGTAGTCATATGCCATATGCACGACGGTTCAACGGTGACGGACTCGAAGCCTCAACAAGTCTGGAGCTTCTGTCCTTTGACAAGGCTTCAACTCAGCGTGATTATAAGCCTATTGTTAGCTTACTCACTCATTTATCTCATCTACGCACAACACCATGCTATTTTATTTTACATGATGACAGGGTAAGCGGTAGTCGTCATTTTTTCGCTTTTCAAATTCTGACAAATATTCAACTTTCAATAATAAGCTAATTAATAAATTAAACGATGCGGTTGAATGATGCGGTGATTTTTCAGACTATTTTTCAGAAAATATATAGATGCTGTTTCTGAAATGCATTCTGTTAAAAATGGAAATCAATGCGTTTAGCCTAATTAATAAGTGTGTAATTTCAAAATAAAAATATAAAAGGCGTAGGCCTTTCTAATAGAAATTAATGTTCCTATGCAGCTAACGCAATATTTGTTTTTCAGACTAGTAGCTGCACTTATGGCTTCATTGTATACGTCAGGTCTCCTAGCGGTAGTATATATGCTGATAATGATCAGTAAATTTGATAAAGAATTGGAATATTGCACGACTACGAAAATTGCTATAACAGATATTAAAGTGACTATAGTTGATATTAAACAACAGAAATAAATTTGAATGATAAAATCGTTTATTAGGAAAAAAATGATTTTATTTGTCAATCTCTCGATTTCGTTATCCTCTTTAAAATATTAATTTGTAATATATCATTTTTCAGATTTATGTTTGAAGCTATACGATTTGTTGAAATTTGAATGTACAACATAATGATGCATTGCGTAATTTAATTGCTTTTTAATCCTACCTGTTTTCCAGAAATTTTATGTAAACTTCAATACGTGTATTGTGTAAAATTAAATTTATAAAATTCAGAATTTTATTTTCATTTCACTTTAATTGTAATGCATTCATGATATCTTCATGTTTGCAATGAATGTAGTGGATAAAATAGTTCATTACCACAGAGTATCTATCTGATTTAAGTTGATTTGGTTCAGTTATATGAAATGTTTCTCAAGTGGTCACAATCAAATATCGACATATTCAAATGACATACACAATTGAGTTGCACCAACACTTACTTATGTGTTGTTTGCATTCAGACAATTAAACTGAAATAAAGTTAAAAATTTAATTTCAAAAGTTTTTTGTTTAGATTTATAATAATCTAACCAGAGAAGTAATTGAACGAACTGGCATTTTTTCATTTCTTCTATGTTTAAGTAAAGCAATCATTTAAGGGACAATATATGATTGCATTAAAATTCATAGTATTAGGAATTCTCAATTTAAAATAGTCGTTTCAAAATCTTATAACAAAATATGGCAAAGTTTTTGTCAACCTTATAAAGAGAAATGAAAAAAAAAATTAAAGAAGATATACAAATGATGCGTCATCGTCTAAAGTTCCGTAATCATTTCATCACGGACAATATAATGCGATGATTCAGAATGGGGCAAAATGTAAAGTAAATGAAAAGTTGTACATGCAAGGTGAGAAAAACAGGTAAATGTATGCTTTCCATGACTTACAAATTATATGGAGATGATAAATAAATACTTTTTTCTTAATATTCTTGCATTGTATGTTATTTGAAAAACTGTCGTCAAATTTGAGCTGCTTCTTATCATTAATGAAACTAATTTTTGTTCCTTTGCAATATTACGAAAGTGGAAACTTTTACTAGTTTCTAAATCTATCATACAAAAAATTTGAATGCATAGACGATGAGTTGCTATTGAAAATATCAATTAAGGAAAGTAATCGAAATTAAAGAAAATCTAAGATGTCGGGTTTTGAAATATTATGAACAGCATAATGTTTGCATTAGAGAAGCATCTGATCAAAATTGAAGTTTATCAGCATCAAATTGTCTTAAATCATTCATGTTACGAATTTTTTTACTGAAAATGATCTTTTGCCTACCTGAGCTTGTTTTTCAAACAAAAAAAGCTTATTTTTTAGTAAATTCAAATAAAATTGGAAATTTTTTGGTCAGTTTAATCATTTATTGCGTATGCCAACACTACATTTTCCAATAAATTCGTTTTTTGTGTAATTGTTATAAAAATATCCATTTTTGGATGGCACGACCGAGATTTTTTTCCCATCAGAATGAGAACAAATTTTTGGGAGGCCGCGCATCGAAGAAATGACGTGGTCAATAAAGCATTGAATGTTACCTTTAATGCGGTTGAAGCTAAGACCGTGGAAGCAACAGATAGTTCATACATTGATAGAATGAATCACTAAACATACAAAACAATTCCTAAAGAGAGCGTTTGGATTTTGCTTGCCATACAGGAAAGAAGAACATCGTAGAGGAAGCTATTATTATCTTTTTTAGTTTAGTTTAAAATTGCAGAAGCTTTTATCTCCATTAAATTAACTGTTATAAAATCCAGTCCATTATTTGGTACCATTATAACCTTCCAGGTTTTATCGTTTATAGCTATATTGTATGCATTCTTAATTCTTCTTCTTCCATTGTGATAACACCTTCACTGTATCACTGATAAGAATTTAATTATCATTTTTGGATCACTCATTATAATATTTTCATTCTTCACCTTTTCATTCTGATTTTTAAGAATGCTTAGATTCTGCGACACATTGATGTAAATTCATCTTATTTTATTAATATTCAATATTTGGTTAAAATTCTAGTGCTAAATATTTTTATAAATTCATTATTATTTTAGATTCAATTATAATTCATTTATAAGTCAATTTGTGATTTTATACAGAATTTTTTTCTTTGGAAATTAAGTTTTTATATGAGTTAGTATTTTTGCATAAATCATAATATAGAAGTCTCGCATTCAACCTTTTAAAGGAGTTTATTAAATATTTCGACTATTATTTTGCACAGCAATTATTATTTTTCTAATTACAATTAAAATTATGCATATTCAATACAGGTTAGTAGGAAACTGTCAATTGTTTAGTTTTATTTTTTTGACGAATAATGATATGATGAATGAATCGCTATTGATCGTTATTGGCTTCATTTCAATTATAGTGCGATTTGAAAAACTAATTAAATTTTGCAGAGAGAACTGAATAAACGATCAAATCGAAGTGAAGTCTCGATATAGGAATATAGATAGGATTAAAACGAGAATTGGAAGAAAGATGAGAGGAATCAGTGCAGTACACATATCATCCTTTCTAGTTTACTTTCAACAGATCATTGGTTTGAATATAAGTCAATTTCGTCATGATGCCAACATTCATGGAAATAATCATTTTGATCCAAATCATAGAACATTTGGATCACAATCGAACTCCATCAATTTCGTTAGTCTTTAGCTCTTTATTTTTCGCTAATTTGTGTCATTGTATTTTTTTTTTAATTCGAATTTCTATTCCAATTCTCTATCATCTAAAACTGAAAAAAAAAATTATATTTAAAAGAGTTCTTTTTGCAGTAGATGAAACCTTAAGAAAAATGGCACATATTTAGCTGCACCTTTACTTTTCATACTTTTTGCATTTTATTCTAGCAATTTGTCTTGAAAATTTTGAAATTTATTCTATAAATTTTTGATGATATAGAAATGCTTAAATTTCTTCAAAAAAGATGTATTTTAGTTTTACTTGATTTTAGTCGAAAAAAAAACTTCCAACAACATGACTGATAAAATAGATTTGATATATTTACTATAGATAACCATCAACCTTCTATTCCAATAGCAATCATTGAGAAGAAAAACTTTTAGGAAAGATCTCAGTGGATCAGATTCTGTGTATTTGTTACATGAGCTAGTGAAAACCGTTTTGGAACTGTTATAATAATTTCAATGGTATGCATTGATGTTGAAATCTGTTAGAAAATCTTCGAATAACAATTTAATATCCAGTTCTACTAAAGTTGCTGATTACCATTTAATTACGAATAATAGAATTAACAGAGTTTTTAAGTGCCAGTCACTCCTCAACGATAGCAAAACTAATTCTCATCAGATTATCACTCAAATGTTGTGTTTGCATTACGTGCAATATCGAATAAACTAAATATGTATTAATTAAAAGAAGAGAAATTGAGAGAAACGGTTGTAACTACCTAAAATAGCTTCTCTTTTTCATTTGATGGAAATTCTGAAATTAATTTTAAAAAACTAACTTTAACACAGCAAACATTAATGCTTTATCAAAAAAAGCTCGAAAAGTCGCTTTTTTCTTTCATAACAGAATGCTTTTGTTTTCATGCATACATTATTTTGGTAATTTTTATTTCAGATTTCCCGTCCTGAAAGTCATCATTATAATGAGCACAATAATTTTGAAGCTATGTATCAAAATGTTCAAATGTTTCAGCCGATAAATCATATTGTAAGTTAATACTTCCTACTTTATTTCATGTTAATCTGAACTCATCAAACAATTTTTTTTTGATTACAATAATAAAAGATAATATTCAAAGAAATGCTTAAGTGATTACTCAATTAGATTTATTAGCAGTTTCCCCATCTTATCTCCTGATGTATTATATATCTCAGGACTACAATTATGAATCAATGAATAATTCTGAAATGGCAAATGTAATGGTGCAAATACAATTGATAAATTATATTAACCAAGGATTTCAACTTCCAAAAGGACAGACTTGTGTTTGTCCAAGTGAATTTTCGTGCAGTTATCTCGGTACCGCTGTTCCGCGGTGTTATATGTCATTTACAGTTATCTTATTGTCATCAGAGTGAGCTTTTACAATCATCTTATTTACATTTTCAGTTAATATTGAAGTCAAAATACTTAGAAGTTGAAAATTTACTGTAAATCAAACAAAAATAGTGTTTTTTAGTGAATTGGTGAAGTACTTCTCAACTGAATTTATACCGTTAACTTCTTCCGGAAATATTGATATCGATAGTATGTCACCAAAGCAAAAGCAAGCTTGGCAACAGCCCCATATATTTTACCTCACTTCAAAACCGGTTATTAGTTTCAAAAGAGTTTAAATATTTCAAACTAGATATTAGCATTAATTGCTGAAATATGAAGACTATTAACTATGATTACTGCATGTAATTATTACTTTAAAATATGCTATGAAAATGGAAATCAAATGAAAATTGATTAGCAAATCATTTATTCACTCGAAAATTGTTTTTCACAACTAGGATAAGCGTTAAAACTTTCAGTCAGCTATCGATGTATTCGTTCATCATATGGGTACCGTTATCAATGCTCATACAGGTGAGCTGACACAAATTCAAACTGTTGTTCATGTTGATACTTTCATTTTACCGTTGAATTCCGTGATACCGTCAATTGGAAATGGTCATTTATTAATGCAATCGCAAAATCTCAATGGTGTCATTCTCGAAACACAGTAAGTTTGACAATTAATGAAGCAGAATATGTATGTTCTCAACAGAAATAAATTAACTATACACTACTTGTTCGGATACTTTTAAATTGATTCACTTCCAGGTTAACAGTTGCATACTCAATACAATGTAAGGGTACTTTAATTGGACGAAATTGTGATTTGATTTGTAATGAAGCAGTCGCAAATACGGCCTTAGCAGTGTGTCAATCTAATATAACAAACTTCTTCTATACATGCACTTATATGGAAAATGGACAGGTGAGTTAATTTCATGTAAAATTGACTATTTTTTTATATTTGTTTATTTGTTCATTAATTTGCTTTGATAGTATAAAAGGCTCAGTGTAACAAAAGTTATTTTATTGGTAATTGGTTTGTTTTACGAATGTTATGACATAAAAGATGCGCTAATGTCACGTTTAAATAGTAACTTACATTTAAATAATTCATGCTTGCAGTTTTTAGGTTCAAAATTGCCTTCCATGTCCATGGGGAATCACTCAAGAGTCGTTTTGTCAAAATGCAATTGGCGGCATTCTTGCTCCTTCTGCTGCAGTCAGTACATGACCTCTTTCTTTCTTTCATTTTTTTATTTTCGGTTTTATCATCGATTTTTCACTTATAAGTCTAAATTCATAATGGAAATTTTCCAAAAAATCGTTACTCATTTCTGAGTTCCAGAATTTTGAAATCTTCAAATTTCAGGATGTGGTATCATCCAATTTTAAAGTTGCAACAATAGTTCTCGGTATTCTTGTTAGCATTCTTCTCATTCTCCTTATGCTCGTGATCATTTTTTCTATACTGTACGTTTTTTTTTTCAGCAAAACAAACTGAGTTTTTAGAAAAACAGAGTGCTTCTTGAATTTTCGTATTTCAATAAACGCTTAACTTATCTTCCCCTTTCTCTCTGTCTCGAATAATTTTATTGCAAACTGCAGCGACAGTTGAAAGCCTTTATAATGAAGCTATTACTGTTTCAGAATAGGCAGACGAATGAAAGAGAATGTTCATTCCTATAATTCCGGGCATAATTACAGGTCAACATTAAGAACTGAAGGCAATGCTAATCGTCCGCTGTTGCAAGTGAGCTTTATTGAATTTTTGAAATGTTCAGTTTCATTTTTATGAATTATTTTAAAAAATTTATCATTTCTCTTTTAAAGATTAATTAAAATTTTATATTTGAATATTGAAATAGTGATAGTAGCATTCCAGTCAATCAATAACGATTCACGTAATCAAATTAGACTGGCACCAATTGCTGCACCACGTTCCATTCCTCAACTCGACGCTCTACCAGCTAGTAAATCCTTTTTCCAACTTAATTCTTTGACAGAGTATAAATGAGACCATATTACTTTTCAAGTTTACGCTATCATTTGGTAAGTTTGCTATTATAGCTTCAAGTATAAATGTATCTTCCTATGGATCAGAATTGAATAACAATTTTTTATTAAATTTTTGTAGATACTTTTGAGTATTAGGATAACTGGTGAAAGGGTTAGTATTCAAGAGATCAATTTCATAATTCAAAGTTACAGAGTCATCGCTTCGAAAGGCGACACCATTACCATCGGCGCACCTTTGTGGAGTACCATCCCTCAATGATACCTTGAATAGTACCCTTTCAAGTGTGCCTTTGCCACCAAGTAAGGAAGCGGACGTGTGATTTTATTCTATTTCATTTTTCATTTCTTGCAACTTCTATTTAAAGTTCAAAGATTTTTTAGCGCACACAATATCAATCTTTAATTTTTCTAGATCGAACTTTTTCATTCGTAAACTTTCCCTAAATTTTTTTCTCAACTCTTTAAAAAGCACATAAATTGGTTTAATAAAAAGATCTTTTCTCTGATACCTTTTTTTCTTGTAGTTTTAGAGAGAGGAAAAAACAGACAATGAGATGTTAGTGCAATTAGCTGGGAGCATATTTCAATAACTTTGTTTCTACCTCATTTGAAATTTAAAAATTCTTTGTAGGAAATTACTTTAAATTTAAATGTGTATGGGTTTTTTTATCTTTTAAATGGCATTTATAAATGCTCAATGTGAATTTTATGCAAATGTAGCATATAATATGATAAATTATCATGTCATTTCATCGTTAATTAAAAGGTCTTTTTTATAATTTAATTTTTCTTACATGTTCTCTAAATAACAATTATTATTTAACACATCTCTCTATACCTTTCCATGAATCATTTGATCTTACTGAAACTGCTTGTTGACCTTTTTGGTGAATTATAAGCTTGAATTTTAATCCGTGAAAGCACAGCAAATTTGTATGAAGAAAGAGGTATATATCAAAGAATTATGTTCAAGTGCTGGCAGATATGATGAATATCTGTCAGATTGCAATTTGATGGGATAATTATTTTCGCTAAACTTCGCAAATTTCTACAGATTTGTTTCTTTGCTTTTCTTATTTTTTAATCCTTTACTTACTTTCTTGTGGTCATATTTGTTTGCAATTTACATTTAATTTTATTTCCTTGCAGTTCTATTATTATTTTTTTTTAGCATTTTCTTTATATCATTCAAAAATCTATTGTATTCGATCTATTTTCGTTACATTGGCAATGATCTAACTGCAATATTTTGCATAGGCACCTTAATAGGTTGATATACATATACTAATTTAACTCGTGCAATTTTATTTTTGAATTCCAAGTGTTCTAATTTGTTACAAATGTTTTATGAGCAATGAGAAAGCATTTATATTCGTTCAGAATACTTGTTAGCATTTTGTGTTATTTGAATAAAACAATACAGACTTTAAGAATGATATTTGTGAAAGATTGTTAATATAACGACTTTATGCAAATAAAAATTGATTTTGTAGTGATTTTTTCAACAAATCAGTGCGATACTGCAACTGAAAATTAATTGAAATAAATTATTTATATTACTCAGCTATTTTTTTCACAACAAATATATTGATTAGAAATTTTGATTTGACTGCACGAATTATTTATTAATTCCTAACTTACTGCTTATTTAAACTATTTCGACTTGATATAACAGTTCATGTAAATGGACAGTAATAGAATTAACTGTGTGGATAGATAATGCCGCTAATTTTATATTGTTATCAAAATCTGTTAAGCGGCCGATACACTTTTTCTAGAACTTAATTTTCTAAAAACTTGAGCTTTCACAATGTGATTTGAGAAGGTAAAATTTGAAATAATTGTTGGAGATAAGATAGTTGAATTATCAGTAAGCAGTCCATGATTGGATTAGATAATGATGCCAGTTATTAGAATTTGTCAGAAGGATAATCGTACTGGCATTAATGGTAGTGATTATTAGAATAAAGTTTTGTGTGATTCATTTAATTATTTTTTGGCAAATTCCAATAATTAGAATTTACCAAAAAATCAACAAAAAAAGCGCCGTATATTTCAAGAATTTTAAATGTCATCAATGATCCAATCGCAATGCAAAAGATTGTTTTAAAAAGATTTTCCGAAGAATTACCTCTCTCAATTTCATGATAATTCTGGTATGATTTTATTTGAACCACGAATCTTTTGATTTTGCAAATACGAAATTGTCAACATATTCCTCCTCAAGGATGTGAGGCAAAATTTTTGAAGTTCATCATTATTAAGTTTGTATCGTGAAAATGAAAATAGTCGTTGAAAGTTTCATTTCATCCTTACTCAGGAAATATTTAAAATTTCTCAGAATTAAATATTCATTTTGCATCGGAATATGTTAACTTCCAACTTGCGGTGAATTTTCGAAAAAGAATTTGCCTCTTGGTAGGATATCTTATAAGAATGAGTGCTACATTATTGAGAAGCTTAAGTGCTAACACAAAAATTTGTTTTTAATGGACCTGTTGAAATGAAGCGGATAAAAGAGCGATGAAAGAAAAGGAAAAGAAGAAATCCTTGCTAACTGTCATGAAGACATTTTGTGTTGCGCTAATGGAATCTCTAAAAGTTAAAAAACACTCGGTTAATCATTAATCTTTGAAAAGAATCGAAGACCAATAAACGAAATAATTTTTTCTATCTCAAGCAGACGACAATATTTTTCTTTTCATTTCATGCGATTTTCGATTTCTAAAAAAAGGAGTAAGGCATTTTGACAACAACAACAAAAATAACCTGTTTCCATCAAATCAGTTTTTTTCCTCATAATAATTCCTTTTTACTTTCGTAACGACATATAAAATTGTCTTTTGAACTTAATGCTAAATAAACAGTAATTGCTGCACTCTAATGTTAATATTTTCTTATACCTTAATAAGTTGCTTATATGCAGAATTTTAGATTCCAATACAAGATGAATAAAAACATGTTCAAAATACCTTAGACACGTATTAATCAATGACCAAAAAATTAGTAAGTTCCATCTTCAAACTTAATTCCGACAAATTTTATGTTTTATAATGATGAAATGATGAAATTTTAAGCCAATATGCAAACATGGACTGGTTAAATTTAAGAATAAAATTTAGATGAAAATTAATGTATCTTTTCAAAACAATGAACGAATTTTCAATTTAAAATATTCGCCATATTAATTTATAACAAATTAAATTATTGATTTTGCTTAATTTATAACGAATCGTTCAAAACCAACAGATGCGAAATGTTAATTCTGTACATTTGAGCATTATTCAAACGACAAAATGACAGAATTTTAAATCTGTACTTGAAAGGAATAATGAATGAAATAATGAAAATGAGAAATTTCAACAGGATGAAAGTATAATAAATGATAGAGTTTATGTTTTATTTTTTACTGCATTATAAAAATTTTACTAAACATCGATTTTTTCGGCAATTTGAAGAAGGTTAAAAATAAGAATTGCATCATTATGCTGAATTATTATATTATTAGCACATATAAATTAATTTCTTTATTCTATTAATAGCTTGATTGAGCACAAAAAATAATTAACTTTATAATATTATAGAGTAAAATAATGGAAAGGAAACAAATTGAAGCATATATCCACTGAAGATGGTTTCTCAGCAAAATGACGATGGAACCATCAATGAAGTTTTTACGGATTTGAATATATGAGATATTAATTTTAATTTTATACAATAACATTAAACTTTACGCTTTACTCTTCACTATCTATTTTTTGTAGCTAATAAAGCTAATAAGGGATGAGTGAAATGAATGTTTTCTAGGAAAATTTTTCACTTTTCCTCAAACTTTAAAATCTATTTGGAGCGAAGGATTATTTGAAATTCAAGCAAAAAAAAAAATATAATATATGAAGAGAATTGCAGGAGTATACCAGTAAATATGAAAAGGGTAACAAGTATTGTTCCTTTCATCTTTGTGTTTATTATTATTTTATCTTAATTTTCCGAAGATATTTTAATTTCAACTATTTCTCATAATATGTTAACTTTAATAAACTTACTTCTGCACTTTTAAACTGGCAACATTTACTCTTCTTTTTCAATTTGTGAATGAAATCATTCAAAAAGATTTATAAAGCTGACAACAGAAAATTTGAATGAAAGGATTACTTTAAAATTTACCACTTAATTGCATCATTGATCGATTAGTTGTGGAACTAAAGTTAGTGAAATGATAATTGTATTTGAGAAGGATGTTGTGCATTAAAAAAATAGTTAGGGAGAAGGTCAAAGGTAAGACAAAGGGGGCGAGGAATCGTAAGGAGGGAAAATGTAATGGGTGGGAAAGGTGGGGATTAATGATGCAACCGATAATTCCAGTGATGAGAGAAAGTGGAAAGAGAATATGCTCATGAGGAGGATTAAAAAATAAAGAGATTATGCGGTCCTGACCTTGTGCTTCTCTATGAAATTTCAGAGCTGAGGTCAGATTAGAGAACTTAGAAACCATATTCATTATGAACACATTTCCTTGGAGGCATTCGTGTCAGGTTCTATTGTCATCAAGTATTTGCTAGTCGAAAATATGCATCATTGTAGGAAATGCTCCTTGGAAGAACCTTTTAGCTTTATCAAATTTCACATATTTTACAAAAGTTGCACAAAATTTTCCGTGAAACGTCACACATTAAAATCTTATGATGATATGAAACAATTAGCAAAAATTTCATTTTTAAATTTGCGGTAACTTCTTATAGGAGATGAGCAGAACAAAATTTATGGCAATCATCTTGATGATTTTTATTGCTGATAGACTGGCTGTAAGTGAATTTAAAAATCTCAGATTGTTAAGTAATATTACGAATTTCCAACTTTTTTTAAAAAGATTTTCGAAACAAGAAAACTTGTGAATTCAAAACTAAATTTGAAACGTGAAGCAGTTACGGTTATATCATAATTAAGAAATGAATTTAAGCATTTCAATTTCCTTTGCCAGTTAAATCGAGTTTAAATTTAATCCAAGCGATTCTTATTTTTAGACTGGTTTAATGCGACGATGCAAATGTGAGGAAGATAATGAGTGTCAAGAAGAAGCATTAAATTCGGTGGACAAATGCTCTAGTGACTGTGGCTATAACTTAGCTCCGATTGGCGGTAATATACAAGATATGGTGGATTGTTTTGGTAAGCAAGAAGCAGCCATTCAAGCTGAAGACGTTTGCTTGAGACGGAAAATTAATTACAAGTAATTTTTTCCAACTTTCCGCTATTTTTAAAGTTTCAAAATCATTTGATTCTAAAATTTCTCAAAAAAAAACGCATTATAAAAGACATTATGCCGTGAATGGTTCTGTGCAAGCTATCAAAATATATTTTAGATGTGACAATAGGTCTCAGTCTGCATTCGTCAGTGAAATTAACTTCGATAATTTGGAGGTATTTTTGTCTGGAATTTTTTATAAAATGCCATCTGTTTGAAATATGATCCAAATTTCAAATTGGGTTTTCAATTCAAAACAGGAAATGATTAATATTTGTATCACCAAAATGTCCATTGCTTTACCATTCAGCTTTTACTGCCAATTATAAATGGCACTAAATGACTTAAGTAATTATCATGTGACATTGTTTTTCTCTTTTAAGTTTATAATTAAATTTCCAAACTCATTTTTTTGGATATTAATCTTTGTTCAAGCTTAATTTATAGATTATTCATGAACCATTTTTTGACCTCACAAGTTTGATTTTTTGGTTGCATGATAGAAGCATCTATCTCTGTTTCAAATCTATCCAGTTGAATTGCTTCCTTACAGTTCACGTTCAATGAGACAACAAAACCAGCTGTTGGCCCACTTCTGCAAAAAATATATGACAGTCTAGATGCTATATTTAAGTATAACTATTGTATTAGATTGTGCTACAAAAATGCTACAATCCAGTGCTATAAAGAAAAAAGGTAATGCAGAAAATTTTCTTTTCAACTTTTCAAACACATTTTTCATTGACATTTTCCTTATATTACGAATTTGGAAGAGAAGGATGAAATTCTGATCCTTCGCTTAAGTTTGCCATAGCTAAGTTAAAAATCTTTTATTGAAATTTATAAATCATAGATGTGGCCATGATTTAACGGATCATAAAACATTGATGAATTTCGTAAAAGATTGGTTTGGAGCTTACTCGCTATTTTTATTGAAATTTATAAATCATAGATGTGGCCATGATTTAACGGATCATAAAACATTGATGAATTTCGTAAAAGATTGTTTTGGAGCTTATTCGCTATTTTACATTGAACAAATGCAAGCTTGTCATTGCCTTCTACATAAGCTTCATCTCACGTAAGTTTTTGAACAGTTAAATTCTTCAACAAATTTTAGGCTTGATGCTTAATGTTTCAGATCTTCCTCAACTGTAAAGATTGATTTTTTTTTGCAGAAAACTGGCAGGTGCATGTATTCATGTCGGAAATCCACTTCTGAAAGGATTTAAATAGTTCTGATTTCTTGTCAATATTTTTTTTTGGTTTCGTTAATTTTTATAAACAAATTTTATTAAAATTTTTTTTTCAAATTTCATTTATTTGTCATTATTTTTTCTCTTATCTATGAGAATGCACATTATTCTAGAGCAATTATACACTTATAATTTATTGATTATACTTAATGAGGAAAATTATTTAATATAAAAACTTTCATATTGTAATGTCAGCCATGTTGCATCGATTGGATAACTGTTAAAATTCGCTACCGATGAATTGTAACGTAAGTAATCAATTAATCATATTTGTTTATTAGTTCCTTATCACATACATTAAGAGATACGCATTGTTTACAAGCAATATAATTAAGGAACGATTTGCTTGCGTAAAATTAATAAAGCAAACAATAAAAGAAAACAAAAGGAAAGGTCATGACCATTTCCGTTCATATAGCAAGCTCACAGATGAAATCAGCTTTTTTGTGGATGAAATTAGTTAATTTCCAACAAATGTTCTAGAAAAATTCCAATATTTTGATGTGTTATGATTTAGTGAATTTAATGAACAATTTAGTCATATGTGGAAAATTATCATCAGAAAGAGTGTTGTTTATATTTTTTTGCCAAAAACATCATTCGTCAAAAAAATTTTTTTCCAAGGATTGTATTTGCTGCTGATGGATTGCCAGAAATTTAATTGTTCATCCAGCTATAATTTCAAGCTTCTTGTAATTATTAATAAAAGTTATGTATATTCTAGCAATTGCTAAGGATTCAAAAAAAAACAGGGAATGTATAATATAATAGGAATAATTACAGTGATTAATGAAGAGAATTCAGAATCACTTACTTAGCAACATTTCTCAGACGAACATAAAAAAGAAAAAGTTTGATAATAAAAATGAATTCAATTTTTTGCTATCAATCACAAATATTATAAAATGAATTTTTTTTTCTTCTGCTTTACCACTAAATGAAAACAATATATTCATGAGACAATAAAATGTGCTTGCATTTTGATGATAGTTTGATTATGCAAATGATGTACGGTTAGTTTCTTTTATCGGTTTATAAATTTTGATTGATTTTGGAAAATAAATGAAGCAGAGAGTGAAAGAAAGAAGAGAAAAGAGAGAGTAATCAATAATATTCCTGTAAAACATTGCAGTTACTTTCAGGAATAAATCATTTTCGGTGGGTTTCCACAATCAGCTGTTTGCAGTCAGAATGTAATTTAAAAGTTTTTCATGAAAACAAAACTAAATGCAATTTGGTTTTTGTTTTCATGAAAAACTATCGAAATTGAATCAATTCATTATATCATATTTGATGAATTTGTTGCATACACTGATTATGATGCGTAATTTCAACCACCATTACTGCCTTATCAATATTAAATTTAGTATGATATCATTAAAACTTGATCATCTACATAATATAGGAATATTCTGCTAACAGTTGGAATAATAAAAAATAAAATGCTAAAATTACTTTGTAAGTAAGCAGTGAAGTATTGAGAGCTTTTAAAAGGTAAATTTTAGGTTTTCAATGAAATAATTCAGAAAAGCAGATAAATGGACAGATGAATAGCATGTCAAAATTACCAGCTGAAAAATTATCTCATTTTTTTAAAATTCTATTCTTTTAGTTAATTCATAGATTTAAATCAACTTAATATAATATGTATTATTTAGTTTACTTTTAGTTCATCCTTAGTATGCAATGTTAAGTCCTATTTTTGGAGATAATAGTTTAATTTAGTTTTTCATTTTCAAATTTCATTTAGTTTATACTTTTCTAAATTCTTTTCTCATTTCCAATTATCTGTTTATGAAAATTAAAATCTTGTGAGTGATATTGCAATATAAATTGTCCAGATTGTCTTCCTTAGCAATATATCAATTTGTCTATTGAAATTTGAAATAAGCTGATTCATTGGAACCTTGAACTACATTGTTTTTTATCAACCTTAGAAGTCGATACGCTAATGTTATGCTGACCACTTAAAATTTTTGAAATTCCAAAATAATATTTAACGATTTTTTAGAAAAATAATTTCCTATTTTTTTTTTGTTGCTGGTTGACAAAATTAATGAATGTGTTTTATGTTTCTAAATCGTTGTTACATATTGTTTAAAACATATTTGTTCAATCGCAGATAACAAAATTTCCGCGATCATCGAATAAGCAAAGATGGACGGTTTCTAGTGTGGAAAAATCCAAAATGAATACACAACAAAGGTATTGCATGCTTCATTCATTCTGTAGAATTTTAAGAAAAGATGAAATATTATTGCAACATTGTAATATACAGGGGTGCAAATGATTCCTATACCAATCGATGGTGACCTATTCTCGAGCATTATGTATATAAATGATGCATACTTTTCGATGTTAAATCCATAACAATACGCATGTGAAATATAAAAGTAGAAAGTGATTTTACTGTATTATGCTACGCTACACTCAGCATGTAACAATATTCAAAAACAAACTATTTCAGATCAAAAGTTTTGAACTGTTTTATTTATCTGTGCAAAATAAATCTTAAAAATGTTTTTATAAAAAAACAGTTAATGTTAAACAAAAAAAAACTTAACAAAAATGTTTTATATAAACAATTCATTCAGTCATTAAATTAAGTAATTTAATTAAATCTTTAAATATAATATTAGTTTTTTATCTTATACAGTATTTTGTGAATTTATATATAAATGTACATTTTTTGGTTTTTCAACAAATAGTTTAATTTTATTTTTAGTCACAACATAAAATGTTATGACTGGAAATAATCATCTATTTCATTTGTTCGAATGCAAAGTTAAATTAAATATTAAGAAAATTGATTATTTTTAGCATGAAAAAAAGTATGCAGTGGATTGAAATGTAATTTACATTGATAAGATAAAAGTTAGATTAAATACTATTTCTGTTGTAATTTTTTTAAATTTCAATTAAAAATAATTGGGTTTATTTTGTAATAGCTGACAAACAGTATGCTACCTGTTTTGCTTTCAATCGCCGATTTTAAAGTAACACTAGTTTTTATCATTTTAAATTGAAATAAGTGCTGGGGAAATTTTTAAGAAATTTTTTAAGTGTTGTCTTGCGTTATTTCACTATTTAACTACTTGTTGATATATTTACTTAATTGCAACTTACGATATTTTGCTACGAATAATATTCAATTTCTCTTCTTGGCACGAACAACATACTGTAAATCAGCGAAAATTTCCGCCCTTATCACATTCTTTCATAGGAATGATAGAGACATCAGAAGACACTGTGAAAATGTCATATGCAAGGTCAATATTTGTTGATAGACTGTCTTATCAGTGATTTAATCTTGTGAAGGTCATATAGATCTTTCTTTTTCATTAGGTGTCCTGAAATGATACTGTATTATTACAACAAAAGCGTTGATGTTTGCCATGATAACTAACAGTTTCTCATCAATATAATCTTTCTACTTTCTTGAAATACCTTTATATGTTTGTTGTTCTTTCTGATATGTTCATTTCATTCTAAAAATTTTAGTATTTTGATTTAAAAAAATTTTTGCAACTAATCAACCATAATTAACTTTGACTGTTTTCCCTAAATACTAATCTATCTTACTGATTGATCGAATTTAATTCATACAGAAAAGTTGCAATTTGAGCATTGTCAAAAAGTGATTCAAATATAAAAAGAGAAAGTGCATTTATAATATTTTGATTACAACAATTCAGATATTCAGGAAGCTAAAATTTTATAATATTCACCATTTTTTAATTGAAATCACCATTTTATCTGTGCTGTATTGAAATTTTTTAATAAACGAAATGAGATGTTACTTTTATTTTCTAATCCATCTATTTAGATTCGAATATGGATGTATTCAGAACAGTTTCAAAAAAAGTGCTTTACCAACTTTTTAAATTAGAAGGAAGAGGAACCGGTCTAGACCGATTTTCTCGCCATAATCAAAATGTAAATATACTTTACGTTTACATACTTGCTGATGCGGTAAGAATTCTTTTTCTCTGCTCAGCTGGGTCACTTGAATGATGTAAGTTTTCAAATGTTTTCATCAAAATTAATATTTAGCCATATCAAATTTTTTAAACTCCTTTTTACAAATGTTATATTCTTGAAAACTGAAAGCTTGTCAATTTAATTATTTGGTTTTTGCAGAACATATTTTGAGTAAAATTTACCAACTTTTATCATTCATACTGGAAGTCTTTCATTCTATTTCAATCATGATTTGGTTGTTTTTTCATCATATTAAATCATATTAAAATATCATCTATTATTATTTTCAATTTGAAAACCAAAATATTTATTTAATCCTCGCCATTTAGTAATACAATTCATTTAGAATGTAATAAGAGATATATATTTTCTCGATGAAAAAAGTTCTTAAATTTTAGTAAACTTTGTTGAGATTTTTTTATTCATAGAAATATTATTGATATCTTTGCAAATTAAATGAATCAATTTTCTAAAATTTTCACCGATCAAATTTATCAATCATTCAGTGTAAAATCATTTAGAATACGTTCTTTGAACATTTAGGAAAGGAAATTACGACATGAAAGGTGAGAGGAGAAGTCAGCATGAGTTGTTTTAACATGCGTATGTAAAATTGGTTTGTTTTATGGCTAAAAATTGCATACTCTATCTGGTGGTGCAAGGCTGAAGAGGGTTTATTTCAATTTGATTTTTGAACTTTCCAAATATTTCATTTGGAAGACTGGAAATGATTACTTATAATTTTTGTACTAAACATGATTTTTGAAAGTTTCTTTCTTTTTTTTTTTTAATTTAGCGACACTTAAGGATGAAATCATAAATATAAACATTGTTTTTTTTGAAATCTTTTTTTTAATAGAATCATAAATAAATTTCATTAATAAAATTGTTAACAACATCCATCCATCTCCTCTGGTGTTATTAATTGAAGTGAGGAAATTACTCGATTTTTCACTTTCCAAATGATCGTTTAACAATCTTAATAATTTATATTTCATTCAGCGTTTATTAGTTAATAATAACATTCATTAATTTAATTATGAATATTATTATTGGTAAACATTTTTAGAAAACTCTCATCTGATAGCAAAAACATGGTTATTTGTGTGTGTTTCATTATTTTATATCCTTCTCTCATTAATATATATAACTGTTGTTTAAAAAATCAAATTTTTGTTATAGAAATAAACTTTCTCATCCCAAACTATAGCAAATAATTTTACATTCCCGTACGTTTTGTTTATTTTCAAGCTAAAATATCAAACAGTTCAAATTGAATTTTGAGAATTCTCATGGCTTTAGTATGCAACCTATTTTGAAAAGCGCAAATTTCTAAGCAAAGTTCGTATAAAAAGGTGCTTCAAATGATTCATCCAACTTGGTTGTATATTGGTTACTTTTTACTTTCGCATAAAATAAGTTCAATTTATGGAGTTTTGTCAAATCAATGATTAGTTTGAAATCGTTATTTCTAAAAAAATAGCGAAGTAATTGTAAGAAATTTCGTGATTTTTTTGTTCGCATTAGCAGTTTATCATCAAATCATCAGAACTTGACCAAAATAAATCCATAAATGTCAATGGTTTCGATGTTTTTTAAATCATTAATAGAAATATATGTATGTAAATTTCAACAAAAAAAAATCATCGAAACGTGAAATTGCACAGGATACTGTATAAGCGATTTATATGCTATTCATTTATTGTTTATTGGAAGTATTTGGAAGTAACTTTAATAATCAAATAACTATTTCGCATCAAAATTTAAATGTAAAATATTTATGCATGGTTTAAATGAAATAAGAAAAATTTTTTGGCAAAATTTTTGTGCCAATCGAGTAGTATTGAATAGTAAAAAAAATAAACCGGTTAAGAGAGGCGAATTGACGACGATATTGTAAATGAAGGATCCTAATGGCATCTCAGCGATACTCTCAACTATCATCTGGTGCGGTGGAGAATAGATTGGACACCATCCAATTAGCATCCTTTTTCTCTTAATTTCATTTGTTCTTTTGATGAACTTAAATGTTTTCTGCATTATCAGTTGCATAGTTTTGCGTCATTTTTGTTCTTTAGCTTTTTTATATTTTATACCAGACGAATTGGAAGAAAGTTTAACACTTTTGGACAGCATTATTATTCGTTAAAATACTCAAACTCGTTTTGCCTTAAAGTAATTATTCATCCTCTTTAAAATTTTGCAAGCAATAAAAAAGCCGTTAATTTTTTCTATTGAGAAAAATCTTTTAGGTATTTTATCCGATAAATTTTAAGATAGATCAAATTTTAGAGCCAGTTCATCCACTTAACGAGAAATGAGTAGCGGGATAGGAAGATCAAATAAATAGAGCAAAGAAAGTAATTAATGAAAATCCAAAAAGTAAATTGAAAACAGTTAGTCTGACTACAATGTGTGGCTAATGATTTAATGTTATACTAATAAATAAATACTATCAATAAGATTGTTTTTGTATTTTTAGGAAGGGGTCGTGGCGGAAAGGTATAAGCTTGATGAAGAAAGAAATCTTCGGGGAAAATCAATCAACAGAGGCGAATTCAAAAAATGATTCTGCTATTGAAACGAGGTTTGTTATAGCATCTTTTATCTTTCATAATGGCAAATAGTTGTATGCTATATCAAAAATTCGTATTGTTCCATCGAGGATTAGTGAGATTTTTCAAACTTCAAAATCCAAAAAAATTTTCGCTATCTTTAATATTTTCACATCGTACAACAAACCTGAAAATTTGTGTGAAAGAAATAAAAAGTGATACAAGTCAAAGAAGTTATTTTTAAAAAAAAAAGCGCATAAATTTTTTTACCTTTTCAAATTTGTTTGTTGCTTACATTTCTTTAAATGATTCGGAAAATTAAATTGTAATAATCTTAATTTCTTTAATAAGTGGAAATAAAATACAGTTCTGTTCAAAACAGTAAAAATGATGCATAAAATACATGAAATTATCCATAAATACTATCTTTTTCAATTTTAATTTCATATAAGCTTCTTGCAGTTTAAATGCAACAGGTGGACATGGAGAGGTTCGGCAAGAAAACAGTCGACAAGGAAGCGTTGTCATCGGACTCGATAAGGAAGGTTATTTTCTTACCACATTACATTGAATGTTTTTAATAAATGTGTCATCTTGGATAATTAGTATCCTTATAGATGATTCTCGTCGTTTATCGATGCTGTGGGATTCATTCAAAGCGAGAAAAAGCATCTGCGGAAACAATTTGGCTTTGTTCGAAGAGCCAAGTGAACCTTTTATTAGTTCCTACCTCAAGGGTTATACAACGCCAGGCCCATTAGAACGCGAAAAAAGTAAACATGCTAAGGTAAGCAATACTTAACATTTTACATATATCTGTCGGCGATTTCCACTTTCATCAGCTTGTTAAACAATTTTTTCACTAATTATCATTATCATTATTTCAAAATTATCTGAAGATTCTGTATTTTCAGGCAGAACTTGGTGTTATGCTGGGTGTTTATTTACCAACAATTCAGCACATTCTCGGTGTAACCATGTTTATACGTCTTTTTTGGATGGTTGGTATCGCTGGTATCGCACAAACCTTCTTTCTACTGTTTATCTGCTGTCTTTGTGTTAGTCACCATCTTTTCAGCAGTTTTATTAAATTTGATAAGATTTGAATATTAAGTTAAATTATTTCATTTTATCTTCAGTTTTATACTAAATTGATTGGTGTTTTTATTTTATCACCTTTTCTTCTCTTTAATTTTATTTTATGCACTGTTTCTTTCAATTTCTGATTAAATTTTGTTATAGATCATCATCATCGTTTCTCTCTCTCTCTCTCTCTCTCTCTCTCTCTCTGTTTCAGTTCTCAACAACTAATTATTTTCCTTTAACGGCTTCCCTCGTATTTTTTCTATGATGAATAAAAAGAGAAAATGATTAATCATGAAAATCATAAAATAATAAGACGTGGAATATGATTTGTCAATATTGCAAAACACTGCTTTTCTTTATTGAATTATAGTTGATATGATTCAATTGTTGTAATTACTTATTTGATTTGAAATTTTTTTTTAAATAAATTAAATGAATTATTTGCAGACATTGTTGACCAGTATAAGTTTATCAGCTATAGCAACAAATGGTGTCGTAGAAAGAGGTGGTGCATATTTTATGATTTCACGAAATCTTGGAGCTGAATTTGGCTCAGCTGTTGGGATATTGTTTTATTTGGCTAACACTGTTGCTACAGCGATGTATCTCGTCGGTGGTGTCGAAATATTACTGGTCGGAAAATTTTCCTTATAGTGCAGATTATACCATTAAAGTCTTAAACTTTTTTTCTGATTCGTGATAAATTTAATTTTTTGGGCAAATTTTCAAGTTTATGAATGAATTTCGAATTTTATTCTGTGAAATCTCAAGAATCCATGAGATCAAGTTTATCTTTAAAATCTCGAATTAATTTCAGCTTTACATATTTCCTGGTTTAACAATCGGTGGTACCGAAGTTCATTCAGATACAGGTAATTGTTGCAACATAACGTTAAAAAATTTATATATAACAAATATTGTGCTCGTAAAATGAATAAAGTTTTCAGGATTGATGGGTTGGATGTCGCATAACTTGCGATTTTATTCCACCATTTTGTTGTTACTGGAATTTGCAATTGTTGCGATGGGTGTTAAATTCGTTCAGCTCTTTGCACCGGTAGAATCTTGTTTTGCGTACTAATAATTTTCTCTCGGTATGAGAGAGATTTAATAAATTGAAGTTTGTTGAAAAGATAAAAAAGAAATCTTCCAATTTTAGTTTCAATTTATTAAATAATTAAAGATATCACTGTTTTGTGTTATCCTGTCAATCTTGGCCTGTTACGCTGGTGGAATCGAAAAAACAATCATATCACCTAACGGACAGCAGTATGTTTTCAGAATTTCAAAGAAATATTTCCCATGAACTAATCTGCTAGAAATTTATTTATTTGAATTGAAATAATTATTGTTTGAAGTTAGGCTTAGAAATATTTTACTATATAAAGTTCATAATGGAACAATAAATAATCAGTAGTAATAAGCTAATTAAAACATACAGTTAAAGAATTGCATCCAACTGAGAGCTCCGCCAAAGTGATATGAAGCTGAGAGCTGCAATAAAAGACAGCTTATAAAAAAAAATTTTGGTGTGATTTTTGCACACTTAAATTTCTATCTAAATTTTTATTTTCAGCAGAGTTAAAATGATCATTGGTTTTAATAAATATTTTTTAAACTTTATCAATTCTTTTTCGTTATACTTGTAAATTTAGTGTATGCATGTTGGGCAAACATTTACTGCAAGCACGAGCTGTCCTACCAGATGACGCTCCACTTTCTGATATTTGCAATTATTGTAATGCTTCTGTTCCGTTAGTTTTATTTAAATTTAACTTTCAATTTCTTATAGTTTTAAAATCCTTTCTTATGAACTTAATTCAATGTATTCGGAAAGATTTCTTTGTTATAGTGGACCATTATTAAATTATTTTTGTCCAAATGATGAATGCTCCGAAACGTTCGTAAAAAATGAATTACGTTGTATCAATGGCTTTCCGGGATTTGGGAGCAGCGCATTTATCGGTAACCAACTAACAACAATTTAAACAAAAATTAGAATTTCAAGCAGCATTAATGATTTTAATTAAATAATTTTTGTAAAGATAGAACAATATAAATCTTATTTATTGACTTCTTATTTATCTTATTTATTGTTTGGAAAAAAACATTGAATTGCAGATAATTTGGGATCAAATTATGTTGGCGAAAATGAATATCTGAGAGGAAAAAAAGCTGATCGAAATGTGGAAGTATTCCAAGATGTTAAAACAACATTTTTCATATTGCTTGCTATTTATTTTCCCGCAGTTACTGGAATTCTGACTGGTGCTAATATGAGCGGTTTGTTTTAATAAAATGATTTTGTTAACTATTTGAGCTGATATTTTAGTATAAAATAACATGTTTGATTGATTTTATCGTTTTCAAACCGCTCCTTTTTCATATAATTCATTGATAAAATCATATTTTTAGGGGATTTAAAGGAACCAAATTCATCAATCCCGGCTGGTACCATTGCTGCTCAATTGACGACATCATTCATTTATTTCTCACTTGCTTTGGTTTTTGGTGCAACGATTAATGGTGCTGTACTGCGAGACAAGTTTGTTTTTTTTTTGTCCATTTTTAATCAAAAATTAAATTTTATTGAATTCAATTTTGAAAGTTTGACTAAAGAAAACAAATTTTGATCATAAAAATTTGTGCAGATATGGGCAGTCGTTGCGTGGTGGCATGATCGTTGCTAATTTAGCTTGGCCAACAGAATGGCTTTTATTAATTGGATCATTCCTATCGACATTCGGTGCTGCTCTTCAATGCCTTTGCAGTAAGTTCATTTTTCCAATTAAAGAGCAAATTTTAAATTGATTTTTTTTGTCCAAATTTTTTATTAAAACCGTATATCATATTATAAGATGATGAAACTTGTGTATTTGATACTATTATATTGAATTTAGGATTACTGTTCAAATCTATAAAAATAGAGCTTATCTATTAAATCAACAATAGTCTTAAAGCTAGGAAGATTTACTTAATTTAGTAATTTTATATAATTTAAATTTTGCAAAATGATTTGAAACTAAATATTTCGGATGAAAACTATAAGATCTTTGGATGACAAGTTTGTCATAATTTCTTTTTTTAAGGTGCACCACGTCTTCTGCAATCAATTGCTAAAGATGACGTAATACCAATTTTGAAACCATTCGCAAAAGTTACGTCCAAAAATGAGCCATTTAAAGGGTAGTTATAATTTCACTACTATGATTATTTTATAGCGATATTATTAAATTATCGCTTGTCAATTGGGATCACTTAAGACTTCAATAATTGATGTTAATATATTTAACATTTAAACTGTCATATTTTTTTTGATAGGTTATTGATAACGGTCATAATAGCGGAATTATCCATACTAATGGGTGCAATGGATCATATAGCTGCTGTGGTCGATTTCTTTTTCTTGATGTGTTACGCATTTGTGAATTTGATCTGTGCACTGCACTCACTTCTCGGTGCACCGAACTGGAGACCGAGATTTAAATTCTATCATTGGTTAGCATACATATATTTTATAAATGAAACCCAACGGAAAGCACTCATTACCAATCGTAAGGATTGAGCAAACATAACACCATCGAATATTATTTTTGGGATCTGGAACTATTTAGTTTTCCTCAATTGGCTGATCACATTTTAATGGCTGAATATGACTCTATTCAGGATAATTTGCACGATCATGAGATACTGCATTAACTTACTGACTGAAACAGTTTATCTTGATGTCGGAATTTTTAAGAATTTAAAATTTAATTTGTTGTTTATTACAGAATCCCATTATTTTGATAATATTTTTAACAAGAAATCTTTGTTAAATCGAGAAATTTAAATTAGAAAATGAAGAAAAACTTTCAAGTTTTCATGAATTTCAGGTCTTTAGCATTACTTGGAGCAGGACTTTGTTTTTTCATCATGTTTAGCACTCATTGGGATTATGCAATTGTTTCATGTGTGCTTTGTCTTGCTATATACAAATATGTGGAGTGGAAGGGGTAAGTTATTACTTTATTACTTTTTTCTCTTAATTTAAAATTAGGAAGGAATGAAAGAAAAAAAGAAGAATGATGGAATTTTTTTGAATATCTTTGAGTCGTATTTATTTAATTTGCATACATTATAGCTTTCATTAATTTTTTAGTGCTAAGAAAGAATGGGGTGATGGAATTCGTGGTTTAGCTCTGACAACAGCGCAATATTCGTTGATGAAAATTAATGAGACAGATCCACATCCAAAAAATTTCCGGTACACTTTCCTGTTATAATTTTTAAATTTTACCAACAAATTCATTATTTTCAGTCGTACACCGCTGCATTATAGATATTTCATTTGGTTGAATTTCTAAAATAATTTAGTTATCGTTGATATGATTTTAGACCGCAGTTACTGTTGCTTTTATCAATGCCATGGTCCAAAGAACTTGTTGATATGCGTTATTTGAATTTGATCAATTTAGCATCGCAACTTAAAGCTAGTCGTGGTTTAACTATTGTTGTCGCATTTATACGTGGCAATCCTCTTGTTATCGATGATAGAAAAAAGGCGGAAGAGGTATATTTGTCACTTTATGGTTGAGACATTGAATTGTTCTGGGATTTTCGTAAATTTGATGGGAGAATTTTGAGTTTAAAAGTTTATGGAATAGCCTTTCTACTGGTTTGAAGAATGAAATGAAACCAAAACTTCAATGAAATTTTGTCTGAATAATTAAAATAGGTAAAAGCACGTATGGAATTCGATATGAATCAAATCAGGCTTCGTGGTTTTGCAAAAACATTGGTGTACGGTGAAACACAAGTAAGTATAACTTTTTTAATATTATGATTTTAAGAATAATTCGGCAATCTAATTCAATATAGCT